TTCATCCTTATCGAACTAGTAGAGCTGGAAGATCCGATCGTTAGATCAAAAGTTATTCAGGGTAATCTGCTGCAAACTTTTAAAATTTCTATAACTTCCAAACTGTTGACTTTCTTTTGGTCTCTTTTGATTCACAGCAAAAAAAAAAAAAAAAAAAAAAAAAAAAAAAAAAAAAAAAAAAAAAAATCTGAAATATTATGTTTATCTAGATAGCTATGTCAAAAGCGTAAAAGTACGAAGCGGTACTTTTTACACTAACTTAAAATTAAATTATTTTATAACCGTCGTTGAACAGCCGACACAATTTTATAGGTTTAAGACTACTAATTACTAATGTTCAATTCCGTAGACTTGTAATTTTGAGCCCAATCCAGAAGACAAGGGAGCTCCTGGATCGGTTAGCCTGACGGCAAGGAGACTCACCCATGATCCGTCTACCACTGAGGATATTTCTCGTCAGTGCAAGCCGGATGCGGAATTCATATCGACTGGGATTCGAATCCGGTTCGCCTCATTGGAAGGCGAACGCTCTATCCCCTGAGCGATCGCGGCTCAAAAAAATAAATAAAAATTCTAATTATTAGTCCTAACGACTTTTGTTTTTATTAGATTCAGCGTTAAAAAAATACAACAAACAAAACAATACCTCACTTGTCTAGATAGCGGCAACATTTAAGTCTCTACCCCCTTGTAGTACTCTAATTGCGGGTCACAGGCGCTTACCATCTTTTTTCTTATTCAATACATGGGTTTAAGATTAGTGGAAGTTTAAAATAATAAAATTGAAACTTGGTAGGTTAGTTATCAATGCATTTATTAATATTTTATTTTGCTGAATAAAAACTGAACAACACACAAATATAATAACTTTATAATTTTTAATATTAGAACTACATTATGGTATAAGAATATTATTATTCTGCTTTGATTATTAAGTAGAATAATAATTTAATTTTAGAGTTTACAAAACTAAATGTGTAAAGTATACAGTGCACATTTAATTCATTATGCTATACATAGTTCTCAGAAAACATTTAAAGTACTTAATTTATTTAAAGTAAAGTCATTTCATTCAAAAGAAACTTTGGTAACATGAGAGCAACATATTAATAAATCAAACAAGCGGAATAATCTTTTCAATTAAAGCTGCATCTTAATTTAAAAGAAATTTGTAACCCAATAATGCCCAATTTCGTATTTTATAAAATGAGAAAAAAAAAGTATTAAGATGTTTATGTTGAAGGGAAGATTATAGTTTTCTTTTATTAGCTATTACATTAATTTAAAAAAAGTCCCAGCTTTAGTACTTTAGAAAAAAAAAAAGAGTTTTATCTTAATATACATGTCATAGCATGACCCCCTTTGTTGTGACTGTCTAGAATTTTAAATAAGTGCAATAATTGTGAAACTTATTTATTGATTATTATTATTATTATTTTGAAGGAGCACAGTAGTTTCATTATTGCAGTTAATTATTCATATTTAATTACATTCAATGCTTGGCTTTTTCTTGGTATACTATGATGATCTCATAGATTAAGGGTCAGATCTTTATCAGTGGGGATTGTCACAGATAAAGGATCAGAAGGAAATACACTCATTATCCCTGTCTTTATTTTTGAATGAAATAAGAGGAGTAAGTTCCCACCATAAACAAGAATAATCATGGATTTTTTTGGTTTAAAAAAAAAACTTGTCATTTACAAATCATTTTATAGAGCTATATTTGTTATCCGAAAGTCTTACTGTTGTGTTAAAAAAGAGATACTACACATAATTATATTTTAAAAAATGGTAATAGTTTTATAAAAGCATTGAAAAATTTATATATAAGTTTATTTTCAAAGGTGGTAACAGTTTCATAAAAGCCTTTTGTTTAGAAAAAATGGTAACAATTACTTGTAATACTACTGAGACAGTTTTTTTTCTTCCTTTTTTGGAACACATCCAAGTTATCAGCCACTGCATGTCAATCATAAAAATAAAGATCTGAGATTTTAAACAAGTTTAAAATGTAGGGAGGGAAATACCCAGCACATTTAGAGAACTCGTATACTACAGTACAAAACCCATTATCCGGAAATCAGAAAACCAAAAAACCGGAACGAAATTCGATAAATTTTCCCGCGATTTTTTTAAAAAGATGTTTTTTTCTTCATAAGATTTTAGGATTTTTCTTTCTTTTTTGAAAGATCTTTACCTTACCATCAGTTTAGAAATAATCATTAGTGTATTACTTCATCGTTTTTTCTTCTTTTTAAGATAATTTCCNTCATTTAACCAGTAGAACGTGAAGATCCGATCATTAGATCAAAAGTTATTCAGGGTAATCTGTTGCCAACTTTTAAAACCTCCAAATTCTTGACTTTCTTTTGGTCTCCTTTGATTCAGAGCTAAAAAAAAATCTGAAATATTATGTTTATCTAGATAGTTATGCCAAAAACGTAAAAGTACGAAGCTGTACTTTTTACACTAACTTAAAATTAAATTATTTTATTTTATTTTACAACCGTCGTTGAACAACCGACACAATTTTATGGGTTTACGACTACTAATTACTAATGTTCAACTCCGTAGACTTATAATTTTGAACGCAATCCAGAAGACAACGGAACTCGTGGATAGAGTATTGGGAGAAATTTGTCTTCGTCGAGGACTTTTTGATGTAACTAACCCGCACTTGCGATACAAGGAGAGGAAGACCACGAGAACCTCCCGCAGTCAGGCTGACGGCAAGGGGACTCACCCATGATCCGTCTACCACTGAGGATATTTCTCTTCAGCACTGTGATCGGTGCAAGTCGCATGCGGAATTCGTATCGACTGGGATTCGAACCCGGTTCGCCTCATTGGAAGGCGAACGCTCTATCCCCTGAGCAATCGCGGCTCAAAAATAAATAAATAAATTAATTAAATTATTAGTCCTACCGACTTTGCATTGTTTTTATTAGATTCAGCGTAAAAAATACATCAAAACAATATCTCACTTGTCTAGATAGTGGCCACATTTAAATCTCTACCCCTTGTAGTACTCTAATTGTGAGTCACAGGCACTTACCATCTTTTTTCTTATTCAATACTTGAGTCTAAGATTAGTGGAAGTTTAAAATAATAAAATTGAAACTTGATAGCATATCAATGCATTTATTAATATTTTATTTTGCTGAATAAAAACTGAACGACACACAAATATTATAACTTTATAATTTTTAATATTAGAGCTACATTAAAGAATATTATTATTAGATAAGAAATTAGAAAGAATATTATTATTAAAGAATATTATTATTAGAATAGAACTACATATAAGAATATTATTATTCTGCTTTTATTATTAAGTAGAATAATAATTTAATTTTAGAGTTTACAAAATTAAATGTGTAAAGTATACAGTGCACATTTAATTCATTATGCTATACATAGTCCCCAGAAAACATTTAAAGTACTTAATTTATTTAAAGTAAAGTAATTTCATTCAAAAGAAGCTGTGTTTACATGAAAGCAACATATTAATAAATCAAAAATATGGAATAATCTTTTCAATTAAAGCTGCGTCTTAATTTTAAAAAAAAATTGTTTCAATCCAATAATGCCCAATTTCATATTTTATAAAAATGAGAAAAAAGAATTAAGATGTTTATGTTTAAGGGAAGAAGATAGTTTTATTTTCTATTAGTTACCATATTAATTTTAAAAAGTCCCAGCTTTAGAACCAAAAAAAAANAGCAAAAAAAAAAAAAAAAAAGTTTTATCTTAATATATATAGTATGACCTCCTTTGTTGCGACTGTCTAGAATTTTAAATGATAAGTGCAATAATTGTGAAACTTATTTATTGATTATTATTATAATTTTTTTTGAAGGAGCACAGTAGTTTCACTATTGCAGTAATTATTTATATTTAATTACATTCAATGTTTGGCTATTTCTTGTCAATGTTTGGCTATTTCTTGGTATGCTATGATGATCTGACAGATAAAGGGTCAGATCTTTATCAGAGGGGATTGTCACAGATAAAGGATCAGAACGAAATACACTCATTATCGCTGTCTTTATTTTTGAATGAAATAAGAGGAGTAAGTAGTAATCATTTCCTGCCATGAACAAGAATAATCATGAATTTTTTTCTGTTTAAAAAAAAATGTCATCTACAAATTATTTTATAGAGCTATATTTGTTATCAGAAAGTCTTACTGTAGTGTTAAAATAAAGATACTACACATAATTATATTTTAAAAAATGGTAATAGTTTTATAAAAGCATTAAAAAAATTATATATAAGCTTATTTTCAAAGGGGGTAACAGTTTTATAATAGCATTTTGTTCAGAAAAATGGCAACAATTACTTGTAATACTACTGAGACAGTTTTTTTTCTTCCTTTATTTATTTTATCTATTTAATATTTTTTTGGAACACATCCAAGTTATCAGCCACTGCATGTCAATCATAAAAATGAAGATCTGAGATTTTAAGCAAGTTTAAAATGTAGGGAGGGAAATACCCAACACATTTAGAGAACTGGTATACTATTATTGCATGGGAAAATAATAATATTAAGCATTGATTATGAAATAAATTGCGTTAAAATTTAATCATTTACTGTGAAGGATGCGTGGGGGCATAATAATATCAACTCTGTATCTAATTAGTAATATAAATTTTTTTTAGGGGGGGAGAGAGAATAGAGTTAATTTTTTTAATTTGATAAGATCCCCATGGTAGAATATTTCAGACAAAATAATTTATGCCTTTTTGTGACTTTTTATAACACACCATCTTTGCTTGCATTGTCCTAGAAAGAGAAAAAAATTTGAAACAAAATAATTTGAATCAATAGATTTCCTGTTTCATAACTTTTTTTTAATAAATTACTAGCATGCTTAATTAGCAAAATGGAATTAAATTCAATGTTCAATGTTTAAAAAAAATATGATATAAAAACAATGTGAAGAAAATTTTATTAAAAATAATACCGTAATAATTTAGAAAATTGTACATACCAATATTGTAGTTTTTGCATAAATCCAATCTTAACTTCGGTAAATCCTGCAAGTAACAACAAAAACTATAACCTAGTTTTCATTTAAAATGATTTTTAGCTATATACTAGAATTTAGAATTAAAATTGATACCTCATAATTGGAGTCTGATATGTTTACATTAACTCCCGTGACACGCAGCAGATTGTTATCATGTGACACTACGACTTGTTCATCTTTTGTTAAATGTAAATCTATTTCCAACATGTCTGTTCTCTGCCTGAGAGCACTAAATAAAGAAGATATAAGACTTTAAATTCAGAAAATTGTAAAATAACTTAAATGCAAAGAAAGATTATAAACATTAAAAAACTTTTAAAATTTCTATTTAGTGAGCCTAAATGGATCTAAGTGAGCATTATGTCAATGGTTAAAACTGTAATTAGTTATAACATATTTTTTAGAAATATTTTTATTTCTAAATTGTTATACAACAATGGATTAAACCTGGAAACAGAAGTTTGCTGCTTTTAATCGCAGTTAAACTTAATATGAAAAATAAGAAAATCATAAGAAATACTTCTTCGAGTCACAAGATGAATTCAGTAACTACACAGCATTCATTTACCTAACTGTGAAAGTAAGTGAAACTTAAAAATTAAAATATTTAGACTTTATTCTTTTAGAATGGGCCATAGTAGACTATCGCAAATAGAGTTACATTTTACCACAGATAGCAGGGACATAGTCTATTTAAAATTGTTTTTTTTATTTTATTTAATTTAATACCCACATTTGCACCAGAAAGTGCTCTAAATTTTGACTGAAAATTATATACAAATAAGTCGTTCATATATTTTCATCATGTAAATAGTAAAATAAAATAAATAATATACATCAGTTTTAAAAAATAATTGTTAAAGCAACTTAGATATCGAATTAAAAGGTCTGGGAAGAAGAAAAAAAAACATTCACAGCACATTAAGAGGATGCAAGAATGATAAGTTTTTGTTTTATATTTTTCCCTATTGATATCTCAATATCATCATAGTGTCAATAGTCTTTAGACTAATAAAATACTGATAGTAATTTTTTAAAATATTTTTAGATTTATGACAACAAATCACAAGACGCAACTCAAAGTGTGATTATTTTTTATAAAGGTACACAGATACAAGACATCAAATAAATATTAAATCTTAATTATAATCATAATAATAGCGTAAAATTATAAATCAGAAATAATTTTAACATGAAGACTGACAACCAAAATGTTATAAAAACTAAAAATAATAAGCTAATAATTTCAAAATTATCCAAGAAAAAAAAAAATTCTTACTTGTCGAATGCCCCAATTGTGTTTTCAAATGCTTCTCCTGCACCTAAATAATTATAAAGGATTCATATTTAGCGAACAAATTTAAAAATTATAATATATTTTAAGTTAAAAAAAAAAACTTATTAGTATAGCATGATATATGGGCATAGTAAAAATATGCTAGATTTAAATATGATATTTGATGTATGTAAGACATAAGTTTTCTCAGTCATTATCAAAAATATTGATGTATCGAACATTATGAAATAGAAAAAACAAAAGATAATTTAGTTAAAACCATTGGTTTTGTCTGGATTGTGCAATTACCTAGAATAATAGAAAATTAAGTTAAGGAAACTTGACCACATAAAATAAAGTTAATGGTACAAACTAAGCAAAATCTTCCCAAATTGAATTTAACTAAGACATCTCATGGACAAAAATATCAGAGGATACAAAAAGTTTCTAAAGCTTTTACAATCTTCATTCCTTTGCCCCAAGAAAAGTAGGATAGAAAAAGCTTTAACAGCTTTTGCAATCTTCATTCCTTTGCCCTGAGAAAAGTAGGATAGAAAAAGTTTTAACAGCGTTTGCAATCTTCATTCCTTTACTCTGAGAAAAGTAGATAGAATGATCTCTGAGAGGAAGTAAAAAATATATTTGTAGGTGTTAATTTCCAAGGACTGAATGAAATACTACAAAGAACACAGTTTTCAATTGTTATGGTACACAAAAGTTTGTCCAAGTTAGATTCCCTCCAACATTATTTGGTCGATGCGAATTTTGCTACTACACATATATATGTATTTTCCAAATGTTTAAATTACAAAAAATCAATAGGGAATTTTTTTTTAAAGCTACATCCAACTTATCGTGCAGTAGTTCAATAATCAGATAAATGTATTATTTCAGAGGGGGTTTTGTTCCCTAAACGCCGCCCCCCCTGATTGTACCCTAAGATCCTCCAACACACTTCCTACTTCTCAAAATGATGTTCGGATGAAAGTTTTTTCTTTTTTGTCAAAATTTCTGCTCTACACTATTTTTACTTTTTTATTACATTTTTATTTTGTAATCTTTTCTGTTATTGGTAATATAATTGTTTTTTCTTCCTTTTGAATGTACAAAATGCTGTTAAAAATGAATTTATAATTAAAAGGTGCATTAATATGATAAAACATATAGACATTTTTTGATCAATTTGTGGATTAACAAGGAAATGTGAATATATGGGTCTAAGACTTCACACAACAGAAGATAATCAGGAGTTCTTTAATTACTATTTCGTTAACCTTGTAAATTGTTATTTTCAGACTGATTGAAGGTGACATTAAATTAATTATTTTGTATAGATAAACTAAAATTGATCATAGCATTTGATTGTAATCAGATAAGTCAAAGAATTCAGCATTACTTCTTATACTGAGTGATTATTTCTGCGTAAAAGTATTGCTATTAAATAACCCCTCACATCCCCTTATACCCAATGAAATCCTTTAAAGGCTTAAGCAGTCATTGAGGCTTGGTAGTACCACATACTTTGGAAAAGTACAATTAATGGCATCACTTAAAAATTATGGTCAAATTAGACACTTATAAAATTGGTTTGAAATAACATAGTATACATAACTCACCTCCTCTATGACTAATGTGAGGGCAAAAAAACTTGAGCTTTCTTCTTTTGTGAATGAGGTTAGGGAATTTAAAAAGTATTAATGAAGAAGCAACATAACCTCCAACAATAGCTATAACATACATTATCAACATGTTATAACTAATAAGATATGAAGAAGAACAAAGTTCATCTGCAAAAATAAAAATGCAATCATTATCCAAATAACTCATTCAAAGTATAATTTATATGGCAAATGACATTCTTAATTTTAGTTAAATTAAATACTTAATATTTTACACAAAAAAAAGGTAGAAAAAAATACTTCTCAGTTACATGGGAATAACATGAAAATCATTACATAATTCCTCAATTTTTTTTTTGTAATTTTCCATAAATCAATTTTCTTTTATTTATTTCTTTTCTCTTATTAAAAATGCATTATACATACTTTGCATTTTTTTAAAAAAAGTATTTGCAAATATAAACTGTGCAGTAGATCTATATAATACATGTTCAATCAAAAATAGGTACAAAAAAAATATATTTTAAATAAAAATAAAAAAGTAAATTTTAAATTGCTTTAGGAAATTTAAATCAATTTCAACCTTTCATAAAAATAGAAAAATATATTTTCAATGAAACAAAGATTAATTTGCTCGATTACAGCATTTAATCTAATAAACATAAATATTTATATTAAAAACTTGATTGCTTAGTACATAATATTAAAGCAAAACACATTTTTACAAAAATAAAAAAGTGTCTGATTTAAAGAAAATAGTTTTGATTTATTTACATATTTTTTTTCTTCATTTCATAACAAAAGCAGGAAAGAACATAAATTTTGATCACAGTTAAGTAATAATTAAGGACAATTCCATGCCAAAGGTAGCAGAATTAATGAATAAAACAATTTTTAAGGTTTTGGTACAAAATATTCAGTTATCTATGCAACTATTTCAGTATAGATACAACTATTTACAAGATACTTTTCTTTCAATTATAATGTAAAGTAATTTGCAGGAGTCACATGCAGAACTTAAGGTTTAATTTCCTTTTATAGTTTGCTTTGGACCGCCAATTCCCCAAAGGTGTTACCCAAAACCCTAGGGTTCAGTGAAATAATCACACATGCTCTGAATGCTAGGACTTTTTAAACAGCAATAATTTATGCATATCTCAGTGTATAAATTGACTTTTCAAACCCGCATAATTTTACGAAAATCAGGTGTTGACTAATATACCAATAATAAAGTCAGACATTTGTAGATCTTAAAATATTGATGTATTAGTATAAATATGAGATAAATCTGAATAACTCTGTAGCAATTTACACCTTACAAAAACTATTTAATTTAATATACAATTTTTTTTTCATTATGCTTTCTTTATATATAAAGATTCTTCTTTAGACATAACAGTTTAAATTACGTTCTAGAAAGAAAAAAAAAATTAAGAAAAAGACAAGGCAAGATAATTTATTCCAGAGTATTTAAAAAAATATAACACAAAAAAAAACTTTTAAATCATAGAATAAAGCTATAGAATTAAACTGCTGAGTCTCACAAGAAATTATCATTACCCCATCTAAAGAATTCGAAACTCTAAAGTTCTTAAAAATTTTAACAACAACATAATTTGAGAGCAAATATATCAATCACATCCTGGAAGAACAATGCGAAATATTTTTTAACTTGAGAAACCTTTGTAGACTCAATAATTTCTTCATGTTTAGTTTTGAAAATTTTTTTTTTCAGCAATCTACTTATACACCGGACATACTGAAAATTTGCAAAAGTGTAATCAAGAATAGGGGGTCAACTTACCAATAATCAATATAAATAAACCAGGTTTCAGTATAAATAAACCAGTATATACTAGTTTATTTATATTGAATCAATAATTTATTTTATATGAAATTATTTCTGTAAAGTGCCTATGAAAAAAGAAGTAGAAAAAGAAAAAAAAAATTGTTTCAATAATTATACATTGAATAAAATTTGAAAGAAATATGCATTCATAAACAATCCATAAATATTTCCTATCTATCTTTTCAAAATCAAATAATTAAATTTAAGAAAAGAGAATTATGGTCTGCAGATAACAATTCTCATTGTTTATAAAAGTTATTTTTGAAAAACATAACCCTGCTTATTTTATTTAGTTTCAGCATATGCATACATCATGAAAAAAGTCATGTCTTTTTTTTTGGTTAGTATAATCACAGTTACAAAGAAATACTGCTTTTATAAATTCAAGGTTCTGCTAAAAAGAAACTTGATTACTTAGGGCTCCATAGATTAATAAAAATTAGAAACTGATACTATGTTAGAATACAAGATTAGTACAGTTAGACCAATCCTGCATTGCTATATGATTTCAAGTTGTCAGGATATGCCTTTGAAATTTTGAAATGCTTAACTGAGACATTTTACAAGCTATTTCTCTGTATCAAGTTAGAAATGTTTAAAAAAGTTTAATTTTTAGGTCAATTTTGGATTAAAATCATTCTGTTATCAAGGAACATTAAAAGTTTGCAGATATTTTTGAAATGTGAAAGCAGATAGTTAATTTTTATATCTAACTCTGCTAATGATGAAGTTTAACTTATCTCATACTCTGTTCTTAAGTTCAAATTTCACTAAAGCTTTTTTAGAAAAAAAATCCTTGACACCACACAAAATTTCAAAAATTGAGGCACTGAGTGATCAAAATAGCTTTTGCATTGGTTACAAAATTGGTTAATTACAAAAATTTAACAAAGCAAAACACAAATTCAAAAATATTTTAGGTTAGGGATTTCAAGACCAACTAGTTAGGGAAAAAATAACTTAATTCTAAGTAATTTTCACAAAAATATTTTTAACCCACACAACTTTAGCATTTTTTAAGGCATTATGTAAGAAAACTGTAGAAATTTTAACTTATAAATTATTCTGTTAATATAGTTTTTCCTTTTAAGCAATATGCATAGAAAAAATATAAATTTACCTGATCTGGACTGAATGTCTAAAATTCTTGTAGTATTAATTACCCCCATTAACTCACTGGTAGGCATTTATTTTAAGGCAGTTAAAAATAATAAAATAAGAATGTAATTAACGTAAAGAATAAAAAAGATACATATTTTAATCAACAATGTAAAAGATCTCTGTTTAAGAAAAAACGCAACTTTTCTGCCCAGTTTTGTGACTATAGGAGTTTGTAAATTAAAGTTTTATCACCTAATTCATTATACCAAAATGCATAAGCAATAAATCATCGTTTGACATACGTCAAAATGACTAGGCAGGTATGGTTTCGTTGCCATGGAAATGAGACAGATAGTTCATTTCTCAAAACGATATAAATTTTTTTTCACAAAATGATATCTGAAACAATTTTCTATTCGATTACATAATAGTTAGTTAGAAATGAATTCTTAGAAAATTGAAGTATAACGAAAAATAAATTTTAAAAATTACTTATAAAATCAATAATTTAAGTTTAAAATAATAAGTGCTTGTAGCTTTTTTTAAAAAATAATTCAAGAAAATTGATTCATTTTGATCAGTGATTTCGAAGGTTTTATAAATATTCATGAATCATATTTTCGCGTGAAGATAAAATTGCTACTAAATAAATAAAACATATCTAATATTTAGACAAAATTAGTAACCCTTTAAAAAGGAAGATTAGTCAATTTGAATAATATCTAACCAAATACGTACCGCTTTATGAATTCAATCTTTAGCAATTTCAGATATATTTACTAGACATCAAAACTATAAATTGTAAACAGCAGACGAAAGACGCACAATAAAAGACTACGGTCTCGATTTCATAAAAATAATTGATTAGTTATTCAAAAAGTTTCTATAAAGCAACTTGTTATAGATTTGAACTTGAAATTCAACAGTTTTATAAAATCTATGAATCTGAAATTCGGAAAATGGAAGAAAAATTTATAATTTATGAGTTATTTTTTAAACAACTTCAAGTAAAATTGTAAAATTAAATGAAGTGAAGTGATTAATGTTTTATGAAAATGAGACCTCTAGTGACAAATAACTAAACTAATTCTCTTTTCGTTTGTGGCCGATTTTTCGTCCGCTGAGAAACAGCATCTTGTTTTCTGCTATTTAACAGTTTTTAATATAAACCTAGAAATAAGTGAATTTGTTTTACAAATTGAAATAAATTTCTTTCTCTCTTCTTAATTTGATATTATTTTTGTCCTTTTATTTGCAATTTCATAAGGACAATGTCAGTCTTGAATATCATCAGATATAATTCTAAAGGTAATTCATGTTATTAAATTTCGTTAGATAATCTTTTAGTAAAACGTTTGCAGTTCAAACGTAGATTATGTCAATAAAAAATAGTAATTTTATCCTTCTGTGAAGTATTTTATATTTTCATAAAAAATATCTTATCCTCATCGGTTATTGAAAAGTAAATAATAAATTATTCTTTTTTAAATGCTAAAAGAGTCAAATACTAAGAAAACAAGACTAATTATTTAAATTTATTGGAATCTTGGTTCACGAAAATGTATAGATGTTTTTAGTCAATTTAAATTATTGCATTGTTTTTTTCAATTAGTCTTTAGAAATTTGTTTTAAATTTTTTTTATATTATGATTGTTTAAGACTATATTTAACCACTTTAATTTGTTATTTAATTTTCGAACTGCTCGTTGACTAAATATTTATTTTTAACTTATTAATTTTCTATTTCTTATTCGTATTATACAAATCAACTGATTGAATATTGTATATAAATGAAATTAATTATCTAAAAACGCTTAAAACTTAATCTTCTTGTGTTTATATCGAAATAAAAATTTATTAGAATTAAGATCTAATGAAGCATTACGAATTTGTAAAAAAAAGGTGATCTCGTCGTATTTTGAAATAGTGCCAGATTTATTTTTACAAGGTCGATCTCTTGAGGACTTTTTTTTATTATTTTTATTCAAAGCATTTATTTTTTACATGAAAGAAAATGAATAATTCAATTGATTGGACAACGTGTATATTTATTTATATGTGATTTACGTAGGTGGTAGCTCATGACAGAGGTTCTCCTGTATCCCACTCCTTTTCAATATTAAAATTTTTTCAGTTTTTGTTTTTAATTGAATTTTGTAGAAAAGCTTTTATCAAATTTTAAGTTTATTTAATAAATTATTTATAACTTAACAATGCATTTAACATTTGCAAAAATTTAAAACTAATTATTTTTGTCAAAGCTGAACTGAATCTTTCAGTTATAATATTCATTTAGTATAGTTATACCATACCAAAAAATGCAAAATTTCAAAAATTAAGTTTTCTTGAAAATCTCATTCTTAAATACATTTAAATGGTAGAAATATTTAAAAAATTTTTTTTTCTAAATAAATGTAAAAATCTATTTTTTTCTTAAGTAAACTGAATTTGAATTTTTTTTTTTTGAATTATTCATAAAATTCTGTTTTGGTTTATTTAAGAATCTTAAAAATGTACTTTTTCAAAGATTTCTGCTGTAAAGATGTAGTACCTATATACAAGAACTGAAATTTTAGTCATTAGTACTGAGCATCTATAGAATTTTTAATTTAAGAATCTTAAAATTGTACTTTTTCAAAGATTTCTGCTGTAAAGATGTAGTACCTATATACAAGAACTGAAATTTTATTCATTAGTACTGAGCATCTATAGAAATCTTGGAATATTTACTAATCAGGGTTTTTGTCAAAATAGTCAAATTTTGAAGACAATTGTGAAGTGGCAAGTAAAGAACTAAAGAAAAATGATACTGCGAAAAGGTATTACTCATAGCTATCCCTGGGTGAAACATAATAGCAAATAAAAAATTAGTTAGTGCAGCAATTGTAGTTGGTGTGAACAGATGTCAGTATGAAAATATTCCCAAAATATAAAATATTTAAAATGTGTTTGAGAAATAATTATCTGAGAAATTTTAATCTCAGATATATTTAAATCATTACTTAGATTCCTAAGTAGTAAATTTTTTTTATTTGTTTCTGTCAGTCCCGCAGTGGATCGTTAAGACACAGTTCCCATCAGATCACCGAAGTCAAGCACCAATGGCTGCGGTCAGTGTGCGGGTGGGTGACCACTTGGATCAGTCTGCGTAGGGACCGAGGGTGTGCGGTATTGGTCCTCGTTAAACTGTGCTACCGCAAAGTGCTTGACTTCGCATGCAGGTTATAGTGCAACCGAAGCGGGGTGTCATCCCCTCTGCAGAGAATCAAAATTGTGATGGCATGTTTTCGGAACATCCACCGGTGTGTTTAAGGAGAAGCAATTATAGTTTAATTTACCAATTAATTATGAAAATGATCTGTTTTTTTTAAAAATTGTCATTTAGATAGGTAAACACTTATTAAACTTTTATTTCTATTAATATCAATCATAGTACCTTATGATTGGAAAATGATAGGGATTTTAGGTCTTTAAATAATAAAATTTTAAGGCCTGTTTCGAAAATATATAATTATGGAAGTTTAAATCTTGGAATTATTTAAATACTTATTTCCTTAATTCTATTAATATTTTCTTTTATTCTGATATCAGTTATTCTCTTTTTTACAAATACAACCTGAAATAAAGTGTTTTTCGGTTACTAAGAAGTATTCAATTAATCAATAAAAAAAACTGTGCTTTTTTAAGAAAAAAAAATAGTGTAAGTTTTAAGAATTATTTGAATTTAAAATTAAATTTTCATCAATACTGCTGAGCATTTTTTTAGTAGCTGGGTTTAATTAGACCTTAAAACAATTTATTCATTTCAAAGTTGTAGCGTATACATTAAATATATTTTGTCAGTATGTTTAACTACATTTTATCACAAATTTATGTGTTTTTATTCTTGAATTAACTTTTTATAGCCATAGATTATTTCAAAAAAAGATATAGCCATAGATTATTTCAGTTATTAAATGAATAGTACCTATCTATATCGGTCACAGACTCATTAGGTTCGAGGAAAAAGTGGCTGCTAAGTTATTAGTCTACTGGCTATATACTGAAAATGTTAATTTTCAGGTTGGTTCAATGATAGTGACATTGGTTTTTGAAATATACTGTCAATAAAAAATATACAGTAAAATAAAAAATAGACAGTCATAGAAATTTAAATCTCAAATATTATTTAAATCTTAGATATATTTTAAAGAATATTGCCTTAACACTTAATGAAATAAATATAATTCTTGTTAATTTCATTGTTTTGGTGAAGCACCATTGTCTTCATTACTTGCAAGCTCACGACGCCCTCATGCTGTTATATTTATAGATCTGTACAATAAGTCTTGAACTTGATTTGAGAATTATTCACTAATTACAAATTTTAATGTGGGTCCAGAGCACTCAACAATTACATCTCAAACTTTTCAATTCTCTTTTGTATGTTTAATTTAATAAAGATTAGAATTGAGATTTTTAATCTTAGTTTTTTTTTTTTTTGCCGAAGGCTCTGCCCACTAATTGCATAAAATTTTTCAAACTTTTTACTGTACTTTATTATTTTTTTACTTATTTCTTTTACTATTGTATTATTTTCAAAAGTTTTAAGGCTCTTAATTTTCCGAAAAAAACTCAATAATATTTGGGGATAAGATTTTTAAATAAGTATGAAATGAGAGGGCTTGTAGCTATTTTAACGTTCAGCAAATTCAGTAAAAAATCTAATGTTATTTAAATTTACCATTTCAAAAAGAAGTTTAATTCATGTCTTAATTAAATATCAAAACAATTGAAAGTAATTGAAATAAAAAATTCATTAATCTCAGATTTGTTTAATATTTTACATGACGGTACCCTATAATAATTTACTCATGACTAAAAAGTTTGACTTCAATACTCCTTGTATTTACATTTTAAAATTATTAAATTTTTTTAATCGTTACACATTTTAATGAAAATTTAAAATTCACTAATTTACATTTGTAATATTAATTTATTAAGGTTTTCTTAGTGTGTTTAAAATTCTCTTACATATCTTTATAAATTCAGTATGATATTAATCTTGCTAATTTTTTTGTTAGATATACTCTTATAAATAACTTATTTAAATCTAAAAAATTCATCCGATAACTTTTTAAAATTATAGTTTAACTGATCATAATTTCGAGTGAAATTTTCTTACATAATTAAATAAAACTAACTACTAACTAACTCAGTGGCGCGACAGCCCATTAAGAGGGCCAAGGCCGACTGTGCCCATCTCAGTTTTCTTGACCTTGGGCTCTGGGGTGCAAGAGCATATGTTCCGGTCAGGTGGTCAGCCGAACGCGGAACCCCCAGTGTTAGTTCCCAAGCATGCTTGGTACTCATTTTATCGACCCACTGAAGGGATGAAAGGCTGAGTCGGCCTTGCCCGGCCCAAGGATCGAACCAAGGACCTGTGGCACGGCAGCGCGAAGCGCTACCACAATTAAATAAAGTAATTATTAATTTTAAAAATAAAATGCGTTACTCAATTTGAAAGATCTTTAAAATATTGCATAAATTGTTACTATGGTGGCTAATATAATCAAGAAAAAAGCCCATTGTCAAAAACTACTTATTTTATTATGATCATGAAAAGTCTTTCAAAATGTTTTTGCATTTTGTTGATGAAAGAACTTTCAACAATGGGAATTTTTTTTTATTAGTGCATGTATCCAAATTATATATACAGTAGGGAACCGATTATCCGGAACGATCGGCACCAACGCTATTCCGGATAACTGATTTTTCCGGTTTTCTGAATCACTACAAAAAGCCGTTTTTTTTTATTGTCAAACTCAACTAAAAAGAATAATATTTGGAAATAATCTTAAAACGAAGAAAAAACGATGAAGTAATACGCAAATGATTATTTCCCAAATGATGGTAAGGTAAACATCTTTCAAAAAAGAAAGAAAAATCCTGAAATCTTGTGAGGAAAAAAACATTTTTTAAAAAAAAATTACGGGAAAACTTATGAAATTTCGTTCCGGTTTTTTGGTTTTCCGGTTTTCTGATTTCCGGATAACGGGTTCTGTACTGTATATATATCACTTTTCTTGCCGGGGTGCGATATTATCACATCGCACTGTATCCCGACAAGAAAAGTGACACAAGTCAAAACACAGTATTTGAGAAAAATAAACTTAAAGAATACTATGAAACTTATTCTGAAATAGCACAATCTAGAGATGAGGCGCTTTTGGAGCTCAATGGGGCACTTCATACATATTTTTTATTGACATAAAATCAAAATTGCTGTTTTTTGACTTGTGTCACTTCTCTTGCCAGGGTGCGATATATTGTTTAGTAGACTATTGTTCCATTACACGATCTAACTTTTCACGGTTTGATAGGTGGCACTATTATAGTAGATTGGGATGTGGCACATAACTTTAAAAAAAATCAGGGCATGGTAAATGGGACAGTGGCATTTACCCTTAAAAAAAACATCAGTGTAGGATATGCTGAGCAATGGCGCTTCACCTTAGAAGAAAAAAAATAGCAGTGTAGGGAGGGTTTGCTGAGCAATGGCACTTCATCTTAGAAGGAAAAAAAACATCAGCGTAGGGTGCGCTGAGCAATGGCGCTTCACCTTAGAAAGAAAAAAAAATAGCAGTGTAGGTTATACCAGGCAGTAGCAAAAACAAACTCAGCCATTAAAAAAAATAAATGTTTATTACACAGGTAGATCACATACTAGGTTAATACCCTATAATTTATGTATGCCTTAAATTTTTTTTAAAGATTCATTTACTTTTTAACTAAAATATTTTTTAGTGGTGTAATTTTTCAGTAGAATAATTTTTTTGCATATTTCATTCTTTTTTTTAGATATTCTTATAAAGGCCATAAAAACACAGCAAGCTACACTAAGAAGCAATTGTCTGGTTTCTACACTGCAGAAGCAAATCTATGAGCCACTTAAATTATCATCAACATTTTTCAGAACTTCTTGGACTCCAATTCATTCGTCTTCATCTCACAAGCAATGTAATAATTTTTATCCAGGGTTTTCATATTTGATTAATCTTATGTAGGGTTGCACAGCCTGTGCCCACGGCAGCGACTAACATAACAAAAACGTATAAATTTTTTGTGAAAAATAGACAATGGAAATTTTGAATTGCATATTTAGTTTTTAACGCACATTATCTTAATCAATGTAGTTTTTTAAATTATTTTTTGGCGGTTATCGCTGCAGATTTCCATGTAGCTTAATTCACAATAATTTTAATATATTATTAAGGTAAATGAATTCTGAATTTTATTAATCACTTTGACATTTTTTATTTGTGCTAATTTTGATTCTTAAATCAGTAGTTGTTGCTACAGATACCCGTGTGGCTTTTCAAATAGCAAAATTTTTAATACATTTTAACATCTTTCTAGTTTTGTTTTGTGTATTTAAAAAAATGCTTTTTTGTGCTAAATTGAACCTAGTTTATGCAAATTGAAATGTCTTCTGATAATTTTTCTCCAGTTATTGTTACGTATTTCCAAGCTGTTTTTAGCTCAATATTATTATGTCTTGGTGTATCGAATCACACATTAAGATAACTACTTCGTGCCAATTTTATTGCGAATATAAATTTATAAATTATTTTGGCAGTTTATGCTACACATTTCTACATGGTATTGAACATCCCCATATTTTTTATACACTATTTACTATTATTATGACACTCAAATTTATAATCTCTCAATTAAATAATCACTTTTAAATGGCTTTTATTTGTGTCACTTTAATGGTAAATGCAGGTGATTTTTTGCTTATTTCTGCATTTAATGATACTTTTTCCAACATTTTAAAAAATCCTGATCTTTTTAATACTCTGTTATTACGAGACATTCGAATCGCCTATTTAAATAATCACTTTTTAATACACTTTTTTTGTACCGATTTCATTATAAATACAAGTATTTTTATTATTTTTTTTTTGCAGTTATTGCTACCTTTTTTCATGCAGTTTCGAAAAATCCCAATATTTTAATGTTACAACACATGAGTTTTGAATTGTGCATTTATCTAATTGCCTTTTGGCACGCTTTATTTGTGCTGACTATATTGTAAATATAAGAGGTTTTTGATAGTTTTTTTTTCCATTTGGTTTCTGATATTTTGAAACACATTATTATTACATGTCACAAACACTGATATTTTTATAATTGATTAAAATATGTCTAAATACTTGGACAATCAACCCTTCATTGGTCTGTCTGCTGTGCAAATGGCCCTTTACACAAAAAGTTTGTGCACCCCTACTTTAGTATCATTATCAAAAATTATTAAAACAAAGTATTTATATTCGCGGTTGCTATTAAATATTTAAGCAAAGGAAAATCAAAAAGGTTATTGGAACCTGACAGATCATTAATGAGGAAAGTGAGATTTAACTAACTAAAATCAGTCTAAGCAATGTTTAGAAATATGTTAAATAGGCATTCAAATTGATATTGCTTCGTTTTTTTTACCCTGTTGTGTACCATGCCGTATATATTTTTTTACGTTATTTTTTATAAGAATTCTATAGAGATAATAATAGAAAAATTTCCATAAAATTTTTTTTTTGTAAATTTTAATTTAATTAATTTTAAAATGTTATTAACTTTTACAATGTAAATTTTTATTTAATTAGTTTTTAAGTAACAAAGAAAAGTTGGATCAATCTATGTATGCTATTAAAATAATGAATACAAAATAACTTTTTAAAATTTTAAAGTCATCATAAGTAATTGCACCATTGCTAAGTAATCTCTTTGGAGAAAGAAATTTAAGAAATTTTCATAGTTACCAATAATTAAGTAGTAATTTAAAAACATGTTCTTGAATGAAATTGCAGTATTTGCAGACTGTGAACATATAACTCCGTTAAAAAAAGTTGCACAGTTTCAATACTTTTTTTAAAGACAACTCTTGATGTTATTTATTACTTTCATTAGGTAAAAGAAATTGGGGAAAAAACTAGCTGTTACAAAAAATAAATTTTAAATATTTAAAATGTATGAGAATCAGTTGAATTGTAAAATTCATCAAGAGTTATTTAAGAAAAAATATTACAACTGTTTGATTATTTTTTCAATTAAGATTTGTGCATTTACATTCGTAAAAAGCAAAATCAGCCTATAATAATCAATCAAAATTATTAAACCCAAATTTTATTTCAATAAAATCAGAAAGTAAGTCCATTGAATAAAATCTGTTTTAGTACAATTAAAAATTTAGGGAACTTTTTATTGCATTATTTTTATATTTGATATAACAATATGTTTATTAGGGAGGAATGAAAATGATTCTGATGCAATTTTGGCAGTTGGTGAGCAAAAGGTAGAATCCTTTTGTATTTAATTTTATTCTTGAGATTAAAAAGTGAGCGTTAACTCCTTTCATATCTTTATCCTCTTAATAAAAAAAATTGTATGATATGTATTTTGTTGAAATTCTAAATTTGTTTATTATAATTAAAATGCTTTTTATTATGTTTAGCATAGTGATCAATTTCTTATGAATTCTTGTATTTTATGACAGGTCTTCAAAGCAGTTTACAATCCAGTCTAACTTCTGTTAGAGCAATGAGCTCAGACCACAGTCACTCCAAAATATGGACAATAGAAAGGTTTCTTTCTGCTGGTTTAATTGGCCTCTTACCTTTGTCTCTTGCTTACCCAAATCCTGCTCTGGATTATGCTTTAGCACTTGCATTGGTTGTCCATGTTCATTGGTAAGAGGTGTTTTTCCCCCCTTTTTTTTGTAAAATATATTGTAAACTGATACCTAAATATGATTAAAAATTCAGTTATCGTCAATATTTGATTGTTATATATTTTTCACAAAATAATATAGCCTGTAAAGATTTAGTAGAAAAGCGTGTTTAGTTACAATTCGAAAATACTCAATTTTCCAACTGAACATGTGATGGTCAGCTATAAATAAAGAACATTATTTTTTTCTGCCATGCCTAAATCTTCAGTCCTAGATAACTGAAATTAGTGTTTCACTGTGGCTAATGTCTTAACTAATTTACTATGTTTTAAAAATGTTCCATTATATTTCCTTTATTTATATCGAACAAATCAGCCTAGCTTAAGGAAAATATTTTTAATTTTCTATTTAAGTATAAGTTTGTTATAAAATGTCATTTTGTAGGCTGCACTTTTTATTCTGAATATAGCTTAAAGTGGACACTAGTGAAAATGTGTTTTTAAAAAAATTATCATAACTTAAAGCTTGTGTTTGAGAAAATGAGCTCAGCAAATAATACATGTTTAAGAATATGGACATAGCAAATAATGCACGTTTAAGAAAATGGACACAGCAAATAATCAATGTTCAACCCGTATTTAATAACTAAATGAGAAATTTTGTATTTTCTTTTCCTTAATTTTTTATACACTAAGCTCAATCATTACAGGCCAAAATCCTGACTACTTCGAGATTGGGGTGGCTAGGTATATTATAGGTGTAACTTTTCAAGCATCTCTTCGTATTCAAAACTACTAAAAAAAAAAAGAAAAAAAGATTTTAAATGCTCAACGTCAATTAAATACCACTATTATAAATTTATAAGATCCATAACAACAATACAAAAGGAACTGTTGACTTTCAATATCTTTTAAAAAAATACCTATTAAAAATTTTTTCTAAGTGCTTCAGACAAATGGATGACATCATATAATAAATTAATTTAGACCTATTATATTTTTCTTTTTTAAAAAAGAGAGAAGTTTGAAAAACGGAATCAAATGCTACGTCTATTTTCTTAAACACTCATTTCGAGCTGTCTTGAGAATAAAAAGTTGGCTGATATTTTTTTTTCTCTTTTAAGAGGTACAGTAACATACTAACTTCAAAATCAGTAGTCCATGTGTTGAATATTTAGTTATTTAAAGTTAAATAATGCTTGCTTTAACTGAAATCCTTAAGTATACAGAAATACTTGATTATTGTTGTTTTTTTACAGTCAATATAATCTAAGTAATTATTGCTTCTCTAATCTATTATTTTTTACTAACTTATTATTACTTTTACTTTTCTCATTTTTTAGTAGTTTATTTTTAATAAATTAGTAATTGAAATGTATAAATTTATTTATGATAATTGAAAGGGTAACTATCCGGAAATATATTGCGTACATTTTTTTTAGTCTATTGATTTTAAAGTCTTTACTTTTGCTTTCACAATTTAAGATTTTCTTTTTGTAGTGTTGATATTTTTTGTACTGAATGTCCTTTTGTATTAAATCTATACTAACTTATTTTTTCAAAATACTGGTTGATAATTAAAACTGAAATTTAAATTCCTCTTTCTGCCAAATTTTATTTTTCTCAATTTTTTTAAAAGATGAATTACTAATCACACACCATGTTGAAAAAGTTATTATTAAGTATATTGTTGAGCTAGATTATTGCTAGAGTTCCTAAATATTCTATTATATCACTTCTGACTGAACGAACTTATTTTTTTAAATTACAACCTGTTTAATAATATCAAAACTGTTTTCTAAATGCTTTTTCTACCATTTTTTCTTTGTCCTTTAATATGAAATTTACCTACGGTGAAAATAATGCATTGTGATGTAGTCACTTATTAGTCAGATTATTCTGTATATCTTGAGCATTATAAATTAATATTTTAAATTCGGTAACACATCTATTACCAAATAATATATAATTTACTGTATGAACTCTGAGATGATTATTTTAAATTAGAACTTAATATTTGAAACAACAATTTTAAATTGAGTAACACTTCTAATAATTATTATTTATCTTTTTATTTTTAAAAGTATAGAATTTTAATCTACAAAAAATGCATTTATAATTAAATTATTTATTAGAAATTCTTGAGTTATTCAAACTGCTATTACTAATTAATTTAAACAAATCAAGTTTCCTTAACATGTTAGATTTGTCATTTGCATAGAGTTTAAAGAGCATAGAGTATAAGGTTAAGTAAATTGCATAGAGTATTAAGTTATTAAAATGCTACATTCAATTGTAACGGGTATTAAGTTTAAAACAGTGTATCACTAAATTATTGAAAAGGTTTCTGATTTATTCCATTAATTATAGCTAAATCTAATTACAAATTTGTAAAATTACTTGGTAAGAAATTATTTTAAGTTCACAAATTAGGTTAAATACTTGTCAAATCCAAAAGTGATTATTTAATAATAATTTAGTTAAAACATGTCTTTGGATTATAGAGTTCTAAAAATATACAGCTAACTCTAATATGAATTAAAAAACAGTACAATGAGATCAAGAAAAAAAATAAAAAGAACGAGACCATTTTTTGGAACGTCAGAGAGTCACAAAATTTTTTTTAGAATAGTTTTTTTTTAATATTTAAGGTTTATACTTATCCATTACGGGTATTTTTGCTCGTTGATGTGTGATTGATGTTTTAAATAAATGTTTTTTTCTTTTCTACATAAACTTTTTTTTCAGTATAGCTTGATTCGGTACAGGATTAAGAATTGTTTTTAATCTTTTGTATGACTGTGTTTTGAAAGAATTGTGCTTTTATTACAGAGCTTGTTTATGTTACTTATGCTACTAAAAAGTTGGAAATTTTTAAAAAAAAATATCTATTCTAGAAAATGTATTTAAATCTATCTATAATCAACAATTTTTTAAATTTGATAAAAGTGTATTGTTAATACATGTTTTAAGAGTATAATAATGCTTTATACATGTAAAAGTGTGTAACTTTGTTCAATATCCTTAAAAGAATTAACAACTTTTAGCACATTGACTACCACGTCCCTTATATTCTGGTGGCAGCCAAGTTTCTGATCGGGTCGCGTCACCAGTATTAGGGTGACGTTTATTCGACTTGTGAAGATTATTCATATATATTTGAAAAGATATTTCACAGGAAGTAACAAAACTATTGAATTGTTATAAAAGTAATAAGAAAAATGATTTATCAAGAAAATTATCGTGAACCTCGTAAAAGCTTTCTTGTTCACTGTTATTTGACTCACTAAGAAATAAGTTTTCCATTTTTCTTTTTGAAATTTCTACTAAATGGGGAAAGATTTTAAGTTATACTCCTCTTTACTGGGCAAAGATTCAAACTGATCGTGTAATGTAGCAAGATGTTAAAGAGAGGCGAAGCAACTAACGCAAATAAATAGACATGATACCATGGAAACAAACGGAGCGAGATATTATTCTAGGACCACCAGAGACTCTCATTATTCAAATATTGGAGGGAGTACTTAGCAGAATACGCTTCAAACAGCGGTGCTCGTGGTCTGAAGGAGATTTCACTGTAAAAGCGTGTGGTAGTCAATGTGTCAAGAAGATTTTAAGCCTCTCTGATTCATTGTTACGGAAAAATGTTAGAGATGTTTCAGCCTATCCCTTTGGTAATAAACAATACATTATAGTAACTGTAAGAAATGTGTAATAAATGCAATAAAAAGGTGCTTCAAATTTTAATAGGTATAATCCCTGTGGCAGAATTTTTTCTGACTTTCTGCGACAAACCTAACTAGAACCAATATCTTTCTGCAAGATATTTTTATCGTTATAAATGTATGTGTAATGAATTTATAATAATAGATGAAATTCGTGTTTATAAAATAAATCTACATGCATAGAATAAAACTGTGTAGATTTTTTTTTCTTAATTTCATAATATAAGTTTACATTTCTTAATAAGTTTAAATATAAATTTGCATAATCTTCGATAATAACGGAAAGTTATAAATGTATAGATCTGCAGACGAAAATGCTTACTAGAGCATAAATAAAGATTATCCAGAACCTGTAATAAGATAGAACTTATAGAAATAGCTAAGAATGGACAAAAAGATTAAATTTATAAAACAAGATAACTGAATTTGAAGTATCAGTTTAAAACAGTATCAAAATTAAATTATTAAAGCAGTTTAAAACAGTATGATTTAATGTTTCATTATAGTAGTTATATCAAGTACAGAAACAAATCAGGTGAAAAAATTAATATTGAAGTTGAGTAATCAAAATAATAAAATAGAATTGACTATAACCGATAGAGGCTGAAGTTGGCAAATTTCTAAAAATAGCTTAATAAAGGGGAAAAAAATTCTCCCCTTTTTATCCAGTAACTGTTTGTGTTGGAGATTAACGGAGAATTACGAGCGCTTTCTGTTTCCGCGGTACGCTAGAAAAAAAAATATTTAAAACAATTCTGTAAGAAAAAAATTTTGCACAACCATTATTGCTTCTGCAGAAACTTTTTGTTTCTATAGAAAATGTTTTTTTTTTGTTGGTACAACAGCTTCTGTTTCTGCAGAATCTTTTTTGAGAACTTTTGCTTGTGGCAAACCAAAAATTTTTATTTCCCAAATAAAAAAAATCTTTCTGCAAGAACTCAGTCGCTTTCTGCGACAATGTCGCCGTGTTTCTGCCACGGGGGGTATAATAGATTATGTTCATTCATATTATACATAAACATATATATGTGCAACACATATGGACAACTCATACACATAGTAGTTTAGCATTGTGCTGAGACATAACTCAGAGGCATGATGCTCTGGAATCAAAATAATTGTAAAACATTCTTGTAATTTTTACAGCGTGTGTTTATTAATTATGACTTATAGAAGTTTTTTTTTATTACCATGCCTTTACTAGTTTCGGGGAATTCCAACAAACTTAGATTATGTAAATAGTGAATAAAATTAACTTTTATTTGTATATTGTCAGAACCTGTAAATACTAAATTTTTTTAATTCTTCTTTCTAGGGGTGTTGAAGCTATAGCTGTTGACTATCTTAGACCTAGTGTTGTTGGTGCAACACTCGCAAAGGCCTCTGTCTTAGGTGTATATGCATTGTCAGTTATTACTTTAGGCGGACTATTTTATTTCAATTACAATGATGTAGGGCTATGTCAAGCCATGAGAATGCTTTGGAAGTTGTAATGCTGCAGGTAGACTATTATTAGTTTATGATGTGCAGAGCTGTAGATGAAGTGATACTTTTTGTCAAAGAATTTATTCTGTATGCAGAAATATTATGTTCCCCGTGAACTGAGTTTATCAGGAATTTCTTTTTGTGAAAGCAATAAAGTTATAAACAAAACTTTTTTAAAAACCTTTTATTTTTTAACAAAACAATTTTTTTTATCAGAACACAATAATTATATACAATTTGTTGGTCCATCATAAATATTTCTTGTTTAAAAAAAATTCAAGATAAAGTTTACTTTCAATGTATTTTTTAGAGATGACTGAAAAGCTTTCGCCTATCTGCAAATTGTCAGTACATTTGAAGTGGAGAATATTAACTTGAAAATTGATAAATGTGCTGTTATCCCAGTACATCCGGAAAAATAAGTAGGTGCATTTTTACCAACAATAATGTACTTATCAGAGGATGCTAGAAAAATTAGTTTTTATAGCCTAAAGGACAAGTTCATTACCAAAATATAGGTAACTAAACATTTTCCTACTCCTGAATAAAACCTTATGTTCTTAATGTTAACTTATTTGAAAAAATGGAAGTATACATGTCAATATAAATTAAATTTAGTACACACAGATACCATACACAATGAGTAGGCAGACAGCATTTCAGTTATGTCTATTAATTCATTCTTTGTAGCTACAACATGCATTACTTTATAATTGAGAAAAAAATATACATTTGAACTAGTTACCCTGTAAAAGTTATTGTTCATTTATTTAATAAAGAAAAGTAACCCTTAAAATATCAAACATTGAAATTAATACAAATATTGTATCTAATTAAGCTCTTTTTAAATATATATATATTTTTTAAGTTAGAGGAAAATGAATAAATGATGCAAAATAACATATATTGGGGAAAAAACAAAGTGCATAAATCATTAAATTTTTGTTAAGTTCCAGTACATCTTACAGCTGTTAAGTGATAGATTTAATAGATGCACTTTGGGTTACTAGGGATATTTTTCTTTTATAACAGCATAAATAATTTGAAATCAAACATAACTAAAAAAAGTAATCTTCAGTATTCTGCTGAACACAATGTTATTTACTCACAGGAAAAAAATTTGACACAAAATTTGAAAGCAATATATTTTTCTGGAAAATAAAAAACTAAAGTTTTTCATAACTTATCCTGAAACTATAGCATATTTTATGTTAGGATTTTGTCCATGAACAAAAATGCAGTGCAAATGAAGACCAACTTCCATTCTTGTTTATTTCGAGCTACCAAACTTTAATGAGTAATATTTTACTTATCTTGTCAAATTTATAGTGTCCTTTGTTTAGCAGCTAAATTAAGCTGGAGTTGTACTAATTTAAAAATGATTTGTGCAAAAATGAAAGTTACAGCAACTTTTTCCTGGGATAATTTCACTGATCAAATAAGGCCTTTTTATAAACAGTATAAAGAAAATTGGATATAAGTTAAAATGCAATATATACTTTGACTTCAGAATAATATGTGCAATTAAGTTAAAGAACATATTGAAAACTTTTACACCTTCATTAACATATATCAAAATTGTAAAGTGTGGAATTAAGTGAACATGCGAAGTGATTCACATTATTTCTAGAATATAATTAGTTTGGCTGCACTTTATGTTAAACATCTAGTATTTTTATAGTAACAATGAAAATTGGGCTTTTCCATTTTGGCATAGTGATAAGCATTCAGAGCAGTGATTGAAGAAATGTTATATAGTGTGTTTTAAAATGAATTGGTTTTTAAAGTGAGAAAGGTGATCTCGAATGTATGGCTTGCTGCAGTTTGCTAGGGAAAAGTTTAGTTTTCAAATAGTGCCAGCCAGGTGGCTAGCGCGCCTGACTGCGGGTTCGTATCCCGCTCTGGGCATATATGTTTCTCTCTCTGTGTGTTGTCTTCTGATGTGTGAATGTGGCCCACCCTATGAACGGGTATTTGTGGCAGTGTGGCGTGGGTAATGATGCTCGCCTCCGTGACTTAGGTTCACAGGTGCCCAGTGGGTAACGATGAATGGGCAACGCTTCCGGCATCTTCTAAGGCTAAGAACAAAAGTTCAGTGCCTGCCGTTATTTTAATTTTTTTTTTCAAATAGTCATTTATTTGTTTATATTGGACTACATAATCCACTTTTTTGCTACATTAAGAATAATAAGCTAAATAATAATTTGCTGTTAAAATTTGGTAAAAATTAACAAATAAAAATATGCATTTATTAAAAACTGCTTATTTATATTTCTTTTATTTAGATGCACAGCTTGGAGTTATTTTTTTTTTCGTGATTGTACCTCAGAAATTGTTAGACTTACAACACTCAATACATTACACCTATTGATTCAACAAATTTTACGCATTCCATTGTGTATGACAATGGTTTAGTTGTTTCTTTCCCATCACTATCGGATTCAGAGTTTTAAAAACATTAAAATCAAGAAAATGCACACTGATACATGAGCAGCAGTAAATATAGAATCACTTGACTGCATAGTAATATATTCTGTTATTATTACATTGAGTGATTAATCATGGTAAGACATGAGAATTTCATTTTGATTATGTACATGAACAAATTGAACTTAAAAAAAAAAACCTTTAGACTGGAATAAAATTTCCATGAACCATCAAATTTTTGCTCTGTTAGCTTTAATAAATTGATTTAAATTTATGCTTGTATTAACAGGTTTTTATTTACACTTTTTAACATAATACCAATCATTAAATGAAAATTTCCTTTGTGTCCCAAGGATTTCTTTAAACTAAAGCTTGTAATAAATGAATTTGTTCTCTTTAAAATATGTAACTATTAATTAGCTGGATACAGATTTGGTTCTTAACTATATTGAGTTAGGTAATTTTTGTTAGGGTCAAAAAAAAAAAAAGGTCGCAGAAATGGAAAATACTAAATAGGGTTACTGCTTCAAAATGATAAAACTTTCTCTCTCCTTCCATAGTAACAAATGTTTAACACACTAGAAAAAAAAATAGTAAATACATATTTTAATTGTGTTTTGTTACATATGTAATAATAATTTTAACTTGGTGGTATGCAATATATTTTTCAAAATTAAACTATTTTAAGAAATTGTACATGTTTCTGAGAAAATTATATAATTACTGCTAGCTATAATAAAGTTTTAGAAATTAATAAAATTAGTTGTTTTAGAATTGAATTAAATATACAATTTAACAGTACAAAAATTTAAAGTGGCTGGGTGGGCCTAACTCAAGGTTTAAAAGCTTCCAATAATTATATTCAAGTTAACTAAATTAGAAGAGGATAGAAACTATGTCTTGGCACAGAAGCAAAATGAAAAGTTGGTAAAGACACCTCAGGCTGTAAAATCCATAATTATAAGAAGTGGGTAAACTGTTCAAATTTTTCAAAAGAGTAAGGATGATTTTATCCTTCTTGTTGCTTTATATATATAAAAAGAATACAAATGAATATTAACCGCCTTCCTTACCAATTGTTTTGAAGAAAGAAAAAAAATGCAAAAAATCAACATTATTTTATTATTAAACGCAAGGAATTTAAAACATAATACACAAGTTGAAAAAATTTTTTAAGTGTAAAAAACATTTAATTTACCATCACTTTACTATCCAAAGTTATCTCTTGCAAATGAAAAAATTTAAATACAGTACAGAATCAGTTATCCGGAAATCAGAAAACCAAAAAAAAAACAAAAAAAAACGGAACGAAATTCGATAAATTTTCCCGCCATTTTTTTAAAAAAATGTTTTTTTCCTCATAAGATTTTAGGATTTTTTTCTTTTTTGAAAGATGTTTACCTTACCATCATTTTGGAAATAATCATTAGTGTATTACTTCATCATTTTTTCTTCTTTTTAAGATTATTTACAAAAAATGTATTTTTGTTTTTGTTTAGTTGGGTTTAACAATAAAAAAACTGCTTTTTGTAGCGATTCAGAAAACCGGAAAAATCAGTTATCTGGAATAGCGGTGGTCCCGATCGTTCCGTATATTCGGTTCCCTACTGTATTAGTCTTTGCGTGAATGTTTTTAAAACAAGGGACAACACAAAGTGATATGCCATTTTGTTACTTTTTTTTTAAATATAAAATCAGCAACCATTGTATATACAATCTCTCAAAACATGTATGCAGTTCTATAATCCAACAACAAACTCCCAAACAAAACTTGCCAAACTTCCAATTACAGCAGATTTTTTTTGCTTCCAGTCAAGTGAAAACATAAAACAAAACGTACCGACTAAGTCTGCTGTGCCAGAGTTTTCTCGGGATAATAAATATTTGCAATATATTCATACCCAAGTATCAGGGAAGTGGTTAAACAATGATCTGAATAGTTGCAGATCAACATTTTGAGGAGTAGACCAGCATCCAGAGGTGAAATGACGATATACTATTTTTTCAAGATATTTCAAATTTTTATTCAAGATGAAGTAATGCTACTTAAAAATGTATTTATAATATTTAAAAATTTCATAACTTTTTACTAGGAAATATCTATAGAATTATAAAGCATTGAGTTTATTTTATATTAAATGTAGAGAAAGTATTTTAATGGTTTTATAATTTATGAATAAGGGGATATAAGTGTGGCATTTATTCTGAACTTCTGCCTTCTAATAAAAGTACTTTTATGAAAATTACTTTAAAAAAAATATACAATGGAAGCCCAATAGTTAAGCAACAATATATGCTTTCTGATAAATCCACAAAAAAAATATCATAAATTTCTACAGTACGCGCAAGCTCCCTAATTATTAAAAAACAATTTTTTGAGTTACAAGATATAAGATAGTTGTACATGGAACTTTTTCAAATGAAAATAAGCAAGCAATTTTTTTTTAGAAATTATGTTGTAGAGAAAAATATTCAAAATCATAAAATAGAATTAATTTAAAAGTTATAATTTTAATACCTAATTAATTTAAATTTGTTATACAATTACACTCATTTCTCTACAGCCAATTAAATAAGTTGAGATTTCACTAAAAAGACTAACTTCAACCTAAAATTTAGATCTTTTTGAATATAGAATTAGCCAATTACCATTTTTATAATCTATCAAACAATTAAACTAAGTTTGATACAAGTATATTAAAATTAGTAAATTTATGAATTATAATAGCCAGTAACAGCAAATTTAGACAGTCGAAAGATAAAATTTTTTTTGAACTTAAACAATGTGCAACATTTTTACTAAAGATCTGACTAAAATGCAATAAGCAAATATTTAAAAGTAGCAAAATAATTCACTTTCTCAAATGCTTTGAGTTTTCATAATAACATTATATTTTTAACATAATAGTTTAAAAAATTATGTGCATGAATTTCAAAACAATTGTACAACATTTCATGATCTTGTGTATAGCTTAGAGCAAACATCTGGTATGAATATATTTTAAAACCATATTGGAACATATAGTATAAGAGTAAAACTAAAAAATTTCTAAGAAAAATCTTAGGATGATTTTTATGACTTGCTAAAGACAATTTCATATATTACTTTCAACTGTTTTAACAAGTTAAAAACACTTTTTATTGAGAAAAACTTGGAGTTAGCTTGCAAATAAAATTTAGGCAATAGAATACTTATTAATGTTAACTATTAAATTTTAATGAGACATTTTATTTTAACTAGTAGCTATAGCTCTTGAAATATGTACCTAAGCTATTGATAAAGAAAAAAGTATGTAAATACATAAGCTCCAGATTTAAATTAGATTCCTAAGCATAGCTCATATTTGAGTTGATTCATAGATATTAATTTTTTAACTTATTCCCATAACATTTTAATAGTTATAAACCAGTAAAAAACTATAAAGGAAGCAAAATGAAAGTTTTTTTTTTCTCGAAAAATTTAGAACTGTGCGAACAAAATTTCCTAAATGGAAAACATAAGGATTTTACAATATGTTGATATAAAACACTTGATATAAAGATATAAAAAGAATTTAAACTACAAGTTTAAATTTTTGGTTTTCGAATTATGAAATATTTATTAATTTACATTTTAAAAAGGCTGGTTTCATGCATATAAGTTAATGTAATAACTTTGGTTATTATAAATATTTAATAATAATACAAACTAATAAAACAAGTGGAACACCTTGGTAAAATGTTATAACATTAAAAAAATTCACAATATAGACATAACCAGTAATATTCATCCCAAATATTTCAAATTCTGAATTACAGGCGTCTTTCAACCTAAATACCATTAAAATAAACGTTTAATGGATAATGAAAATTACAGAATGTTAAAAATCTTTTAAAAAATAAAAACTACTTTTTTTTAAAAAAAATAAAGCAATTAAAAAAAAATAATGTTTTAAAAAATTTACACTTTTATGAAACTTGGAAAGCATGTAAAGGTAGGGACACTAAAACTCTTATCACCAATTTTGTAAGAACTTCATTTTTAATTTGGATTTAAAAAAAGAAAATGTTAGCATATGTCATATAAAGATGAAAAGGAATAGTAATTTGAAAATTGAATGTTTACCTCAATTTAATTTGAAATAATAATGCTAAGTTTCAGGCATTAAATCAGTATTTTAAAACTTCAGAGCTGACTAACTATTTAAAGATATTAAAGTTTTACTATTTTTGTTGTTTACTTAATTTTTTTTTTCTTCAAACTTAAGTCTCAAAATGAGAATTTAATTTAACAAAAATAATGCTGCACCTAACTTATGTGATATTACCAAACAATAATGATTATAAAAAGTAATCAAGCAAAACCTTTCAGTTGTTTAAATTTTTTTCTTTAATTATCAAAAATTTAGATTTTTAACAGCCTTTATGTTTTAAAAATTTATTTAATTCTGAACTAAATTGCTAAATATACTACGAAGAATTGTTATGCATCATTCCAATAAATTGGACATATTTAAAGAATCATACACACATTAAGAGATTTAGCACGGCTATGTTAATTATCTGTATTTTGATTTCTCAATTGGCTCAAAAAAGATGGTTTTAAATTATAAATTCAATATCACTTTCTGACATTTAGTAAAATTAAGAAAATAAAAATCACACTTATAACAAGAATAGACATAAAACAAATAAAATGTATTTAATACTCACAAGTTAAAAGTTTTATTTCATTTTTAAACAAAATAAATATATTCAAATAAGCTCTCACTATCTGTTGTTATAAATTCACAATGGCTATTATTTCATCAATGTCAAAAAATAATTATACATAAAAAATAGAATTCTTTATATTACAAAGTATGCAAAAAAATGTTTTTTGAAAATATAATATAAATTTAAAGACTAGTAAATAAAAAATAACTATAGTGAATAATAAAAAAATTAGTTTTTTACAAACAGTGTTTAACAGTCATTGAAAAAATTTTTATGATTATTGATGTAATAAAATGATGTAATAAAATTTTTTCAAAGATGGAATTTTTTTATTTTTAAATAGAACTATTTGCTTAAAGATGCATTAGATAGAAGAGATTCTATTATTGGAAGTAAAAATTTTACTTTTAAATGAGATAATTATGCCAATGGCCTAATATAATTCTAAAATCTCTTATAGAAAGTTTTTCTGCTAATATCCAGTTTATATCTTTTAGGCCACTATATGGTCATAATCATACAGACCAAAAATAGTATTTAACATAGATTAGTAATAAATTATAAAATAGTTTTTAAGCAAAAAGATTTACCCGAAAGAGATCTCAAAACCTATGTATTTTTTACATCTTATAAATTAATCATATGAAAATTTTAAAATTACATTAAATAATTACAATTAAGAGATTAATTTAAATTAATTTCTAAAAGGAATTTAAAATTATTTAATAATTTGTCTAATATACTTATCTGGATGGTCTTTAAGCTGCTTGATTTGCAACATAAAAAAAAGATATTTTTTAAATTTTGTCTTCTAACTTATCAGTAAGGCCCAGATTTTGATGACATTTGCATTTTTGGACATTTTTTGTCTTATAGAGCATTTTTTTAGATTTATAGGGCATTTTTCTTTAAATTTTGGGGGGTATTTTGCATTTTAATGCATTTTTAAAGTTTTTTGTTAATTTTTTCCAATTTTTATTATTTTTCATCAATTTTCATTATTAGACTGGCTTCCAAACAATGAAGAAAATCTATAGAATATTAACAGGTGAAGCAAAATCTTTTCAAATTGACGAAAAATTGTCAGTAAGTGAGACCGTCTTTTTCAAGTACGCACTTAAAACATCAGTAGATGTTTAAAGAAGCTTCTGCAAGAATGAAAATTTACTTTCAGACAAGAGACGCTCGTTTACATTTCAAATTATCAAAAAACATTTAATAAACCTATGTAATTCTGATATTTAGTAATATTATGAGATGGAAGTTGTTATATCCATTAAAGTTTCTATACAAAATAAAAATATTTTGGTGTCAATATATTTTCCTTTTTTTGTTATTTTAGGATATAAAACAAATTTTTCAAACTTTAATGAACGTAGAACAAGTATTGCATTGCTTTATATTTTTTAAATGACTCATAATAATTTTAAAGAGCAAAACATTTTTTTAATTCAATATTTTTACTTTATTTAAGGAATTTTTTGCGCAATGTTTGGATTTTTAAGGGCATTTTTTGCCCTTTTTAAGGGCATTTTTTGCACTTTTTAAGGGCATTAGTTGAGACTTTTTAGGTCATCAAAATCCGGGCTCTACTTATCAGTTAACAGAAGAGGTTCAGAATATTTTTTCTGAGAGTCATTATGCTTAAAGGGACAATGTCAAACCTTCTTGCTTGGCTGAGCCACTGAATTTAAATAATACATTTAAAAAATATAAATATATAACGGCTAATAGAGTGAGATGTAAAATCTTTTAAAAAGTTAACAAGAAACAAAATGTATTGGAATATTTTAAAAATTATATAAATGCATACAGTATTAAGTCATTTGTCTTATTTTTAAATAATGTTAACCCTAAGTAACTAAAAGTAATGGTAGTTACTCACTGGAATTAAAAAATTTCATTAAATAGAAAACTCTTAGATAATTTTAATGCATTTAAGGAGCGACAACAAAAATTTCAGACGTGCAAAAATTTTATGACGTTTGATAAAAATTTTAAAAAAGTAAAAGAATTTTAAATATATTAAGCAATTATTTTTTTTAAACAATTTACGCTTATACAAATCAAGAGCAAATAAAAATTGTAAGGAAAGGTTCAGAAAAATAATGCAAATTTCTTCTACTTTAATTTTAAACTTTAGTTAATTTCTTATTTCTCCATTACATTAATTATTGATAAAATATAATTGAATCTAAAGGGTAAAGCATAGAATAAAATTTTTAATTTTATTTATGTTTAATTGTATAAGAGTTGATTTATAGCAAATATTATAACTATAATTTATCACAAATTCTTAAAATTGGAAGATTTTATGGATAGCACATTTCAATTGTAGTATGTTTTGATTCTTTCACTTAAGGAAAAAAAATTAATAAATAAATTTAAGTAAAAAAGAAAATCTTTACTTAAATATATTTCTTTACCTGAGATAAAAGAGTTGATTTTTTTAAAATAAATAACATGAAATCATTACAAAATTAATAAAAGACAAATAAACATGTAGATAAATTCCCCTAATGATATGAAACAAAATCTCTTAAATATATTATAAATATAGTTTTTTTTTTTTTTTAAATATAAATATTGTTAGAATGATTCACATTTAACATAAAGTTTAACTTCTCCTTTTCATTCTCAGAATCAGAGGGATTCTCTTTTCTTCTCAACATTATTTTTGTGATAAATATCCAAAGCATCCAATTGTTTTCTTCCTAGCAAGATGTGCGGGCGACGAGATCGCATTAACTCCACAGCTTCTTTAGGAGTCCAATTGTGGCGCTAAAACATACATTTTTTTTTCAGTTTAAAAAGTATATTAAATTATTTACTTAAGAACTATGTTATATTAAACTTAATTAATTGTAAGACATTAACTTTTTAGTTTTATTAGATGACTACCAGGGATGCTAAAAAATAAAAGTCTAAGGAAATGATTTAGATATTTTATTAAATTAAATTTATTATAATAAATAATTACCATATCGATTTTGTACCATTTGTAATTAGAATTATACTTCACTAAACTATTTTAAATGAATGACATTAACTCCTAAATTAAGTTGGATAATCAACAAATATGCTAAAAAGTTAAAATTTTTAAAAAAAATTTGAAGTTATTAACTAACTATTTGCATACCCGCCAACTTTTTGGCTCGAAGTCCGCCCAGCTTCAGATCTAAGGATACCAGTTTGCCTGGGAAGTAAAGACAGCTTATGTCCAATGCTAACCACATTACCGCAATCACACCATGGAACACAAAATTCAAGAGTCGTAACGCACATTGCACCTCTGGTCCACAAAATTTCAAAACCTTAATATACATGACTTCCCTGGCTAACAGGATGCTAGGATTTTACTTATATTTTGAAATATAGGATGATAATAATTAAAAATTAAAGTGGGAAGGTCAACTTATAATCAGATCAGTTAACCAGCTTCTTTAGTTAATTTCTAAAAATTTAGAGCAAATATCGACAACAAATGCTTTTCCGTTGGTTGAGCATTGGCGCTAGATCACCAAATCTAGCAAAAGGACCAATTCAAAATTATGTTTAAAAAAAAAATAGTTGAAAATAAAATTTTTAAAAATAACAAATAAAAATGACAATAGTGAAAGAATATTTTATTAAAAATCTTTTAGGTAATTAATGTTTTGATAAATTAAAAAAGCCACAATAACCATGATGGCTGGGTAGTACAAAAAGGAAGTTGAGACAGCGTATCTTATTAATCGAATCATTTTGTATTTTGAGGTAATTCAAACAAAAAAAAAACTTATGGCTTAAACTTGAATGAGCTTTTCAGAGGCATACAGTAAATAAAAAGGGTTATTTCAAAGAACGAAAGATTCTTTGAAGAAATCTAAATGTTAATCATTGAAATTTCAACTAAATGTTAACTAATAGCGATCAGATAAAAATTACACTTATAATTACACAAAAGTAAGCATAAATTATACCTTCATTAAGTAACAACCAACTAGAGTTGCACTCCTCGTTCTTCCAGCTTTACAATGAACATAAACACTACTTCCTTCACGTACAAATTCAAATATGAATTGAACTCCACGTGCCAGTTTTTCTTGGCTGGGAGCATGAAATATATCTTGGGTACAAAGTTGAAGAAATCTAACTCCTTTCTTCTTCCATTCCTGAATTAAAATATTTTAATGTTAACAGAAATCTAAATTATTTAAGGATTATACAAATTCAATTTAATTAAATGGACTAGAAATTTTTTTACTTAAACTTTTTATTCTTAATAAGAACTTTTTCAATATCTAAAAATCATACTAATATGATAATTAATATGCATCTTTTTAAATTTTGGTTCAGTATATTAATTTAGTTATAAAATAAAAGATATAGAATAAAACCAGACAAGTGAAATAAAACAGGTTTCAGGATGTTTAAAAACTATCCTAACTTAATTTATAAAGAATTAATTCTGTGAAAAAGACACAATGTCTCCTTCTCTTCCCTTTATTTATTCACGTTATTTATCTTAATACAGGTATACTTGTATATCTTGAGTATAGATTTAGTGTACAATCTTACGTAACTGTGACCACATGGATGAACATTAAAAAATTGAAATAATAAAACTTTTTCCTTGTTTTTTAGAAATAAACTATTATATTTAAAAATTGTACACTATCCTTAATTTGCCTTTCGCACACATTCATTTTTTTTAAATAAAAAAGCATATCAAAGGTTTAATAAATAAAGAATTAAATATATAGAAGAACAATAATTTATCTATCTGTACAATAAGGCATTCACTTTTGAGTGTTCTGGACAGGGAAATTTGACAATTAATGATTTTATTATCCAGTTGTGAAAAAAACCTTTCTGACAATTGTCAAAAATCCAAAATTTTGGTGTAAGCATTAGTTATTTTAAGTGTGAAATAATTATAAACATACATATAAAATTACAAGTGATCAACCAATTATGTTCTTAAATTATTTTAATATTAAACTCTTTTTGTTTTTACAATTACTGTAAAAAAACCTGAATTTTTCTGAGGCAAATATTAAAAAATTATTAATTAAAAATTTGAAAAATTGTGATTTATTGCAATTTGTTAATTTTTTATAAAATTGAAATAAAAATAAAAAAGCAAACATCTTATAAAAAAAACATCTTATTCATTAAATGTAAAATCAATTTTCATTTATTCCCATTTAAACTTTACATTTCCTCAAAAAGCATGCAATTACACAAAGGTATTTTGAAGCCCTCTGTACTCAAGTTCATTTTTCAGTTTCATGTGAATAAAACAGAATCCTCAATTTTCTTTAGATCAGAATTTCCTTAAAATGTTAGTTTTTTTAGTGACATATTTTCTCGTAAATTATTTCAAAATATTTTTGGTTGTTGTTGTTAATTTACGTCGCACTAGAGCTGCACAATGGGTTATTGGCGATGGTCTGGGAAACATCCTGGAGGATGATCCGAAGACATGCCATCACAATTTTGATCCTCTGTGGAGGGGATAAAATATTTCATCCCCTCCACAGATCAAATATTTTTGGAAAGTAAAGTTTATATCAGAAGAAAATTCATTTAAATTAGCACAATTCTTGAATAAATGAGAATATATGTTTAAAATAATAAAAGTCAATATATATTGAATTGGTAATAACTTAGCAAATTAAACTTAAAGGTCCCTCTCACATAAACTTAAGGAATTCAAACTAATAAATACACAAATTGATATGTTTTCTTAACAAGGAAAAAGTTTGTAAAGCAGCAAAATTAAACAATAAAAATTTATAGGAAATTTTTTAGACCAAAAACTTCCCCATGGCTGCTTAAAACTTTGCTCGTGTAATCAAACATATTCTACTCCCTTGCATATAAGTAATAAAAACAAATACTGAGAATCAAAAATAGCATTTATAAGTTGAAATCAGACAAATATTGGAGACTGCTTAAGTTTTACTTAATCTAAAAAATCTGTCTAAATTCTGGCAAAAAAGAATTAAAATCAATATTTTGATTGGTAATAATTAACTACTCATATCCTTAGTAGCAAAATAACTTGAGCACTCATTTGACCAACATTCATGAAACTTGGCTCAGTAAAGGTTCAAAGGTCCGTTATTTACCAATATTGGCCCTACATAGAATTGTCCGATTCACTCGATATTTTATATATAATCAGTGTTTTCATTATAGAAAAAAATGGGTGAGAATTTCTCACCGTTTCTCAAAAACAGGGTGAGATTTCAAAAAATTAAGTGAGATTTCTAAAAACACAAAAACTCTTGAAAAAAAAATCATTTCTTTAATTATAATACATTTTTAACGTCGTCTATTTTTTAAAGCATTGAATATTTTTGGTGCATCGGCATAAAAGATTTTGCCTTTACAGGTATTTGTCCATCTTACATTATCACATAAAAAATTTGAACGTCTTACATGAAGAAACCTTACCTACGGTAAACACGTGGTTGCAGAGAAATGTGTTCTGAAAGGGGTTCCGTGGTTGTGTTCTATTGTTCGAAAAGGCTCTGAACAATACTGTTAATTAGGGAAGTTAGATAACGAGGTAGATGTTGAAAATAATGAAAGATCCAGGAAGATTAAGTTAAGATCCAGGGAGGAAATTGAAACGGATTTTATTTTAAATGGCGTAATTCGAAGCTTTTTCCAAAATACGAGAAATTTTGAAATTGATTTATAGAATGCNTCATGAAACTTGGCTCAGTAAAGGTTCAAAGGCCCGTTATTTACCAATATTGGCCCTACATAGAATTGTCCGATTCACTCGATATTTTATATACAATATACAGCCAATATAAGCCTTATATTGGCCCACTATAAGACCAAAATTAAAAAATCTAGGCATCCCAATATTCAGTGGCGGATCCAGCGCGGGGGGGGGGNGGGGGGGGGGGGGGTCATAGGGCTCATGACCCCTTCCCCAAATTGAAAAAATAAAATTAAAATAATAATTTTTTTAATAGTTTACAAAAGAAATAATAAAATATTTTAAACATTATTTAAGGGGGCATATAAACCTAGACAGGGAGGAAAAATAAATATTTTTTCCATCTAATTATGTTCTTCACTGTTTCATGAATCATAGTCCAGGAGATTAAAACAAAGTTCGTCGCAGTTTTATTGTAATGTTGAAGCACTCTTCAACAGGTTTAACCAAAGACTGTATAAAGGTGAAGATGAAAGTGAAGACTTGCGAAACTCGTAACTAAAATCTGGCATTAATAAACATTTAAAAAGAAATTGATTTGGATGTTGAAAAAATCATTGACAGATTTGCCGAAGTTTCTAAAAAACGCATTACATTTATTATTGAAAGAATTTTTTATATATTGTTCTATTGTTCATTATGAAAAAAATAAATGAGAAGTAGCATTAAAAACCACAGTTTTTCTTTTTTCAAAAAAAATATTAAAAAATGTTTTTAATAAAAAAATTAATTGTGGGGGAGGAATCTGAGACTATGACCCCCCCCCCACAGGAAAAATTTCTAGACCTGTCCCTGCCAAAATCCCAGAAGCAGAAAGTGCCTAAAATTGTGACGTACGTCGCAGAACAAACGAAGTCCTGCAGAACAATTTGTATCTTGAATAAGTGACAGTGTTTTCCTGCAATAATAATTTATCAATAATTCATCGTCATTAACAAAATTTTTACACTTCAAAAGTGATTGAAAAAGTAGTAAATCAAGAATGTTTGCCTTGGTTTAAAAAATAATGTAGAGTATCTGTGTATGATCCTGTATTTTAATAAATGAAAATATAGTATTTTAACGTAAAACTGACTTTTTTTCGCTGTGAAATGCTTGCAGAACATTTGTATAAATTAATAAGTCCTGTTGCAGAACATTTGAAAATATTCTGCTTCTGGGGCCAAAATTAGTCCCTCCATGCACGTTCATATAGGAGCCATATTGAACCAAACTAGGGACAAGGTTGTTGCTAGGGATACTTATTACCTGTAATAAAAACTGAATAGTAATAAAATAACAAATAATATTGATCTACAGGTTTTAAGAGTACCATGTTTCAAGAAAAACCAGTGGTTTCAATAATTTTGGCTATATTTTTTATATACGAAATATATCCGTGGCAGAATCACGGCTACATTATCAATGAACGTTATAGAATTCGCGTAGAAAGAATTTTTTTTTTTTTTTTGGGGGGGGGAGGTAAAAAATTTTGGTTTTGAATATTATAAAGATTTTTCTACTGATTTTTTAAAAAAAAATCTCAGTATTATTAAGGCACTCAATGTTCGAATCTTGAATTCAAGAAATCACTCTTTGACACTCCTGGTTCGTGCCAATATCATCGTTAATCCATACAGTATTTCGTCATTTGACAGTTATTGCTACAGATTTTTACAGTTAAAAAAATCCTTAATGTTTTTTTAACAATTTTACTACACACGAAATTCAAATCGCTTTTTTAATAACATAACAAGGTTTTGAGAAGAAGCTCTTTGACGTAAGAATTAAAATTAATATTCGGTTGATATATAATGCCATGGGGAAAAATATTTTTTTAACATAACAAGCTTTGAGATATCGAAAGCATACTGCATATTAAATACTACACGTTAAAACTGAAAGTAATTTATAGTATTTTAATAATGACATTAATAATTACATTGCACCATAATTGGTTTTATAAAGAAATTGTAAATTGTTTTAGCACACATTGTATACAAAATTTAATGCAGAATGAAAAATGCCGAACACTGGTCAAACCAAAAACATTCTACACAATTGCAGCCTTTCATTCTTTGTTTATATTTTGATAATTGTAAATTATTTTATAAAACGTTTTTCAATAACTCTTATTTATATTGTGAGTAGATTAAAAAAAGCATTTATAGTTTTTTTCTTACAAATAAAATTATTTTTTCTTAAAAGAAATTTAAAAAAATAATAATTAATAAGAATTAAAAATAGTAAACTAATTAACCTCTTCTGTGGTCACCCATCTTTGGAGTTCAAAATCTTCATTCATTGATACTACACCTCTTACATTCTCTTCTTCTACCAGCTAAAATAAATGAGTGAGTAAATAAAATAAAAATCATTTTTCATGAAGTCAAATAATTTAAGAGTACTTTTCGGTTAGCCAGACCTAAGAAACCTCTTTATTAAAATTTTATTAATTTTTTTTATTTTTATGTGTTAAAAAAATAAACAAAATAGAAAAGTTGGTGGAAGTTTATATTTTTGCAACTCTTCGCTTGTGCCCTGCTCACTGAAAAGTACCAATCAAAAACATTTTATATTCTACTAGTACAACAGAACACGAAATTAATCAAATTTAATTTACTTAAGGAATTAACAACCTTATTCAAGATAATTTTTAAAACTTAATTTTAATTTAGTTAAAGTCAAATTTTAACTCCTCTATCAAAGTAAATGAGAGTTGTTTTAGCTTCAAAACATTCTCAAGTTAATTTTTAATAATTACTAATAATTGTACTGAATAAAATAAAAATACATGAAAATAAGTAAATTTACCAGTAACAGCACTTCATGTAGCTAATAAAAAAAGACTTAATATAAGATTTTTTTAGAATTATGTATTAAAAAGATCCATAAAAAAGTGACCTAATACAGCTAACTAATAATTATTGGTGAATACGTTTCATGGTTTGGTCACATTGAGAGATCACCTGACAGCCGAGTGGCAAAGATCCTGCATTGGAATCCCTTGAGCAATAGATCGAGAGACAGGCATGAGAAAAGGTGGATTTATGATATCTTGGATAATTTAAAAGCTTTAAGGATCTCCAACTGGAAGATTAAGGTTGGAGGACAGAGCTGTATGGAGAAACATTGTGTGGCAGGCTAAGGCCCACCCTGGGCTGTAGTGCCAATAAAGAAGATAAAACAGATTAATGCAGAAAATGTATAGAAAAATTATCTATAAAATTACTGCGGAGATTTCCATATCATGATCTGTGGCAGAATTAGTGCCAAGTCTTGGAAACTTCCGGGCGGTAGCCCACGAGAAACTAAAAAAAACATCACAGAAAGCAGGGATGAGATTGGCCAAAAGGCAAAAAAGCTGAATTTCCATGTGAGTAAATTTTACCCGTGTGCAATTGCTTAATAATAAATTCTTGACAATTTAAGATAACAAACAACAAAAATTTTTATTTTAGTTGGAAAAAATTACATGATAATCAGCAACTGTTTAGATAATTATTTTTCATATGATAAGAATTTCGCACTTTACATCATAAATAACAGCAGCATTATTATTTCTTCAATTTCAATGCTGAGTTAATAAACTTTTTGTTTGCAAAATCTTTTTTTTGTTGCTTAATTTGCTGCAAACGCTTTAGGTTTTCAAAACATGCAGAAAATCCTTTAACAAGGTCAAATTTCTTGTAATGCAGCTTGTGAATGAGGGGAAACAGATTGGTGATTAATTTAGTCGTTAGCCCATCATCAAACATCTTTTCACAAATCCTATTTTTTCTTTCTTTACCTGCCTTTGTCACATTCTTCTTTGCAAGCACAGAATGTAAATTTTGAATATGCCTACATATACTAATAATTGTTGATAGAAAAACAGTCACATTTATAGTAACTAATTTAAAAAAAACCCTACTTCTTACAAGAATTGCGATAATTGATTTTAAACTTGTGTGAATATGAATCATTACAAATGTTTTTTAAAACGCATAAATACATATAGTGATATTGGATTTTTAAATCTCGCAAATAAGAATTATATTGTAGTATATTCAAATTGCGTGAATAAGAATCGAAATGTTAGCAAATACCGGGTTTGAGACTTTTAAAAAGCTTGTTTGAAGCAGCGACGTTTGAATTATGAAAATACGAACTATCTGGCGGGCGGGTAAAAATGAGGAAAATTGTATCTTCTGCGCGTAAAAGTGGCGAAAATAGCTAAAATTTGGAAGGATTGACAGATATGTAGGTTGAATTTTCTGTTTATCTTTGAAAATCAGAAATAAATATAATAATTCAACAGCTAAATTTTTTGAAAAAGCAAAATAATTATTTAAAAAAAGTTAAACTTTTAGATAATCGGAGTTTTTGATAAAAAGGCGGATATTCGAGACACAAAAATAAAAAAAGCGGAAATCCGCTAAAAAGGGGAAAAATCTCATCCTTGAGAAAGGGGCCAAAGAAAGGGACTCGTAGCCTGTATGCTTTTTTTTTTTAAAATTCGCAAGTTTNATCGGAGTTTTTGATAAAAAAAGGCGGATATTCGAGACACAAAAGTAAAAAAAGCGGAAATCCGCTAAAAAGGGGAAAAATCTCATCCTTGAGAAAGGGGCCAATTCGAAAGGGATAACTCATAGCCTGTATGCTTTTTTTTTTTTTTTTTTAAATTCGCAAGTTCAAAATCTATTTGGCACCTTGGCGATTGTAGTTGGCGCGACAGATCACGATAGAGAAATATCCTGCAAATGACCTATTAAAATAAACATGAAGTCTTAGTGATTAAAACCGAAAAGGCTATGCCCTCGAAATGACATTTTCATCAGTACGATCATATTACATTCAAGGTTTTTCATAGCATGGTTCATACTTCATAGAATGAAAGTGTAAAAGTTAATTTATAACATTTTCCTAACAATTTTTAAAAGAAAAAAAACTATATGATACTATAGCCAAATATGAACGAATAAGAATTTGACCATAGAATTAAAGTGCCAAAGTTAATTTAAAATATTAGTTTTGTGGGGAATTAATTATCGACTATGTCAACCTTCATCTATCAAAAGGTACCTCCTGATGGATTCAAGTTAACAAGTCTTATATACTATTGATTTGGTTTTTAATATTTGTAGTGGTAGTTACGCCACATTACTCCCCTTCCAGAATTTTATCTGTGATAGAATTCGATGAACAATTACCACTAGTTGATTAATGCTGTTTATTTATTAACTTCAATTTTCGCTCTTTATATTTTTTTTTCTTCCAAGCATTTCGCTCTTATTTATTAAATTTTTTTTACAGCTTTTTGCCATTTTTTCCCATCGTTTTTTTTATAGCTTTTCGCTATTATTATTTTTTTTCTAGCATTCCGCTCATTATTATTTATTAACTGGGAGACTTTATTTACTTCACCGGATTTTTTTTTTTTNTTTTTTTTTTTTTTTTTTTTTTTTTTTTTTTTTTTTTTTTTGAGCAGTATATTTTTTTAAGCAAATTAACTGTTTAATGTGGATTCATCCATCAATATTGACAATTTCTTATCACGTCCGTAGGTGGGGAATTAATCTTAGACTATGTCAACCTTCATCTATCAAAAGGTACCTCGTGATNATGATACTATAGCCAAATATGAACGAATAAGAATTTGACCATATAATTAAAGTGCAAAAGTTAATTTAAAATATTAGTTTAACTATTTATGCGAAAAAAACAAAACAAAACAATAAGTAATCTATAAATTACTGATTAACTTACTTTTTCAGTAATAGAACGAAAAGGTAAAGCTCCTAAGATGACGTTTTCATCAATCCGATCGTACCACATACGAGATGATAGTTTTTCCATGACAACATTATACAGAAGTGTTGGATAAAACGATGCTCTTGCTAACATGATGGCACAATTTCAAAATAAGTTATATGACACTATCACAGGGTAATGAGGAGAGTTGTGTCAAAAATACATTACGCTGTTGGCTAAAAATAATTGGGGAGTTTAAATGTGCATTGCCAATTATGCATACCGGTATTGCTTATCATGAGTAAAACAAGCAAAAATTCGAAAACTCCTGGTGAGAGCTTGATGAGCTGATAGTATTAACATATTCTAAGCAGTGTATTTTTAAACTAAGCTTATAAGAGCAATTTATGCTCATTAAAAATCTCGAAACTCGTTCTCGTCTGCCAACTGCCAGCTGCTAAATGCATTCTAAACATAGCAAAAATGTTGCCATTATGTAATTCGTTTCTTTAAGAAATATTATAGGCTCTTTTTAAATGACGTAGAAAGTGCGAGGTGTAGGAATTAAGGATCACTCTGAATCCCATTCAATAATTAGATTGTTCAATGTACAGTGTGCAAAATAAGAAACGGACCACCATAAATAACTTTTGATCTAATGATTGGATCTTCACGTTCCTAAGACTCAATCTTAATGGTTCATGGGGGTAATCTCAAATATGCGAATTAATTAGTGCAGACGATGTTTTAATTTACGAAATCGGAAACAAAATCGTACTTTCTCTGAATAAAACATACCCCTTTTTTTTGACGGATTCGGAATTTTGTTCCTGAAAACATAGCGAAATATGGCCCCAATAGTTTGGTCAAGAGATCGGTCCAAAGGCCCTTAATGTTAAATTTACTTTTTGAATATTTTGTCTCAAGAAATTCTGAAGTGAATTGAAAAATCTTTGCACACAATTATAAAAATGCGTTTATCAAAGAATAATTCCATGCAAAAAATAACTTTTAATAAATATTTATCATATATTTAATATTAGTCGAGAAAGTTTTGAGTTGCAAGGTATATATTTTTTTACATCATCTTAAAAAATGTTATTTTACATGGCAAATAGTTCCTGAGAAATCGAATTTCAAACATCTGGCTTTTTTGAAATTCAATCTCTCTGGAACTATTTAACCGATTTTGCTCAAATTTTGTATTTCACCATATAAAATTATATTCTTTAAAAATGATGCAAGAATTTGTTTACCTTACAATTCAAAATTATTTTAACCATCATGAAATATAATAATAAAAAATAATAAATATTTATTAAAAGTTATTTTTGGCATGGATTATTTTTTTTTTCCTTTTTGATAAAAGAATTTAAGAATTGTGTGAAAGAAATTTTCAATTCACTTGAAAAGTTCTCGCGATATAATGAAGTACGCAGAAAGTAAAATTAAAGGGTTCAAACTTTAGACAGCTCTCCAGATCAACCTATTGGGATCATATTTCCCTAATTGCGGCTACCCCCTATATTTTCAAGGTCAGAAAACCAAATCTGTTGGGGGGGGGAAAGATATATTTAATCAGATAAAGTACGTTTCTGTGTCTGATTTTGTAACTTGAAATATCGTTTGCATTTATCATTTAGTATTTGAGGTCACCCCATCGAACCATTATGAATGAGTCCTAGAACGTGATATATATATATATATATATATATATTGTG